GTCAGATAATTTACAGTATCATGCAAAATGCTGGAGGTGTAACTAGAAGTGTCTTATACACTATCATAGTACTCTGTGAATACTGGTCAGATATTTAGCATATCAATTTATGCATAGCAATTGGATCAGTTTTGACTGAAAAATATAATCACTTTAAGCAACACACTGTGTTACAGTATAGGTAGAATATCTGGGATATTCCTCAGACTTTTCATTATTTTTCTTCCTTTACCAAGTGAAATTTTTTTGTGATCAAAAACTGTTATGATTGGACATGGTCACATTTAGAAACACTGTATCTCAATTTCTTTCTTTGTACTACCTCAGACAGCAAATTTAAACATTTATGACAGACAAACATGGATCAAAATGGCTCTTGACTAACTAGAAATCTTCTTCCAAAACTCTACACAGACCACGAATGCTTTCATAATCCTCACTGCCCTATTCAGTGTACTTAGTGGAGCTCTCCCTTTTAATTAACTAGTCAAGTTATACATCTTATATTATCTTTGCTGTACAACAGAGATTTCAAAGAAAACATTTAGACACAACACTGGGGCTTGAGAATTAGAAAAAAAACATCTGTCTGCTTAAGAATTAAATGTATAAAGCCCAATCCCTAATTAGCAAAAGACCATTTCTGCAAATTGGAGTGTTTCCCACTGCAGATTTGTACAATACAAATCTACTCTATTGTTAAGATGTTATGTTTTTCTTTGAAGGTAAACATAACCACTAGGCAACAGGCTGTCATTTACAAAAGAAAAAGCTGAGGCCCAAAATTCAAATGAACATGTGCATGGCAATGATAAGACGCTCTTGATCCTATTTATACAGTGAACAAGTGCAGTACTACAAAGTAAAATGTATTTATGAAAGAATATTTGAGACAGTACTCAAAAGCCATTTATCTGATTTGTGATACTATTGCTTAAATAGAACCAAAATAAGGACCTTCAATCGTTGAACATGGTTGAAGGCTTTTAAAATATCAATGAATCATGTTACAATGAAAAAGATATATAAAACTTAAACTTTTCCCAATTAATGTGATCACAGGCTCATAGCGATAGATATTATCAAAGATTATTCAAGGCCCTGGGTTGGTAAATTAAAACATTCATTTGTTTCCTTGATCAGAAAATTATCAATTTAAATACTGTAATCATTTAAACCAAGGTAACGACGGTGTCTCCAGACTGCTCCAATGCTGAATTTTGTTATAGCCAGCTGTTTAATTATTTAGTTGATAAACAGAAAGAACAATGCAGTAATTAAGAAACTGTTTGCAACACAGTACAGAAGTGGATCTTATTGGATGGTCTGCAAGTTATGTAACAATGATTTAATCTGTACTGAAGCACAAAACAAATACAACAAACCAGGTCTAATGTATTCAATCCAATATTTTAAACAAAAGCACCAAACCTAGTGTAAACAAACTGTTAAAAATAAAAGGAGCATAAATTATAACTAATACGTTGTCACTATGGTCCCCTGTCTATGGCAATTGCAAATTGGACCCACAGATGTTCTGACTCTGGACAAGAGATACAAGCGCAAGACCTTTACATTGTTTTCTTGAACTTCTGCCATGTAATCCTAGTACTATGTCATCTTGCATTGCCCCACTACAAAATCATCAATTCAGAATTAGATTGAAAGAGCAGAAAATAAACTGTCAGCTAAAGGGATTCATCAGTGTATTGGTGAACACTTAAATATATCCTCAATCTGCACCAATCGTGTCAACAAAACCAGTGCCCATTTAATAATAGATTAATTTACTTACATTAAATTACAGTGAATTTCAATGTGCTTCACATAAAGGAAAAAGCTAAAAGAAGTTAAAGAACTTACTTAAACCTAAAGAACATAAAGATTACAAAGGATAAAGATAGGAAATTAGATACTTTATTAATTAGATCAGTGGTTCTCAAACTGTGGTACGCGTACCGGCAGTGGGACGTGGCGGGCCGCCAGGTGGTACGCCAAATGATCCTGGAACTGTGTTGTGTGCGCTGAAAAAATCGGGACGGGTTTTCATATTTTGTATTTTTATACGTGTCGAATACGCAGCCTACGTACTACGATACAGTGCGCGCTAATACTTCAGTGGGCACAAGAGATACTCTGTAATTCTATACCACTCTATAGGAATGCGTGCTACGGACGCAAGTGACCAATTGTATTTAAAAAAAGCTACTGCATCTCCAGCAAATAGGGAGAAAGGAGAATGTACGTGATTTTGGAACAATGCCAACGTTGTAAACACAGGAATGCATAGAAATGCGTGTTACAAACGCTGGTAATCTTGTGAGCACAGGAAAGCGTGAAAAATAACAGAAAAATATTTAAGAACTTAAATATTAATATTAAGTTTCTCTCCCACGCGCATGAAATAAATACTTAAAATAAACACTGAAATAAAAACGGAAACGCGGAAAAATGCAAGCTTGCGGATTGCTAAAGCAGGTAAGCCCCACACTATTATGTGTGGAGAAAAAGCTGCTGAATAGCTCGACCTGCTGCCCCCCCCCAAAGACACAGTCATTCATAGAATTATTGAAATGAAGGATTATATCAAAAGTACGCTGACAGAGCGCGTTAAGATGAGCAGATGTTTTTCACTGCAATTAGATGAGTCTATAGTCGATTTGGCCAATTTGCTCGTTTACGTTAGATACGAGTTTGAGGGTACGTCCCATGAGGACTTTGTGGTCTGTAAGCCGCTACCAACAGGAACTACAGGAGAGCACGTATTTCAGCTTCTGAATTAATTTATCGAAGAG